CCATAACCAATCGTCCCCTTAATAACGAAGATATTTAGCAAACAAATGACGACATTTTAATTTATTAATATATTTAGCAAACAAATGAAAACATTTTAATTTAAGTAAATTATAATCAAATGTTTTTATTTGTTTGCATGATAAATATTTGACGACCGAAAATCCCCGTATGATTATGCAGTTAGCGGATAACCAAAACAAACAAAAAAAGCCACACAAATATCTTGTATTTTAAAATAAATTGATTAGTTTAACCTTTTGAACAAAGTTAGCAAAAATATGACTAAATTAAGAGAAGAAGATCCATGGAAGAATCTGACACAAAAACAGCTATTATAGAAACCTTCATATCTTTGTTTGTATTAATTAAAATAGTCAAGGTAAAAAACATTCTTGATGATCACACTTTTTATCCTGAGCAACAACTTCTCCAAAGATCCATAATCCTTGTTTCTTTCTTGGAAACATCATCATTTTCTCAGCTTCAGATTTTACTTGTTCGCAGAAGATCAATGCATTGTGTAATTCCTACAACCATCATGAGTAACTCTAATATTTTAAGGTAATGAAATATCTATACCCAAAGGAAGTATTGCTGAGTCTTTACATGTGATGATTAAGGTTTTGGTTATGTACCTTTCTAACTGAAGCTGAAGCTTGATGCAATCTTCATCGCAGATCTTTCCTTTTCAAGGTCTACAAGAGAATACAACTTCTTGTGGGTGTGTCGTTGTTCTTAGCTCTTGTTATGTTCAGCTTTGTTTCAATATCTTCATTCCTCCATTTCTCTGTTTCCATGTCAGCCTCTACGTTTCCTTCTTTTTTGTGGTGCTTTGTAAACACTTCCCTCAAGACTTGAACTACATTAAAGTGTCGTTGACTCCCACGATCTCCCACTTGCTGTTTCCCCTGATTTTTTTTCAAAAACCAGTTGATGCTAGTGTCATAGAAATATTAAGAGTGATGAGTAATGGGAACTACAAACTCAATCAAGGCATGTCCTGAGGAAAACATTGTTTCTAGAAAGAAACCAAACCAGAGTTTCAAAGTGATTAACAACTCCTCACGCTTCACAAAAGCGTCATATATTAACTTGAATAAGCCAATGTTATTCTTAGCGACTAACATAAGAAAAGAGAGGAATCAGCAAGCAAATATAGGCAAAGAAATACTTGTAACTTTTCAATAAATAAGATGATATCTTCACTTCCCTCAGATTAATACATTCTTCTCAAGAGAAATACTCCTTCACTTATTTAACTGTAACCTTTTCTTCAAAAACTTTAGTACCAAGAAAATCAAGTACAAATGGTATACAATCCTTGATATATCAGAGCAACCAACTTACAACTTCACCCGTCTGTCTATTGACAGCTCGCCAAATGTTCCTAAAAGTTCCATCACTGATATATTGTGTTTTGACATATTACACACATACTTTGCATATCATATTTGTGCTTTCCTGGAGTATTCTTAGTGTGTTTTGAGTTATTTCAGGTGGAGAACGAGTTGGAATGCACCAGAAGAAGCATATGGAAGAAAAAAATGCAAAAAATCAGAGTTTTCCATCGTGGAGCACCCATGCGGAGCAAAACCGATTTGCTCCCGTTCTTTAATGAGACCTCTGATCTATTTCGGGAAAGAGTAAAACGCAGCACTCCTCTCTACCCTAGTAGGCGTCGTTCTTCTAATAAAAGAACCCTGGCCGCCTCTACTCTTTCAGATAGAGATCATAGACTAGATTTTACACAAGAAACTTGTTGAGACTTTTTTGTTGAAAATTTGTTCTAGCTATTTTGTAAAGGGCCAAGGTTTCCTCCTCTTGGTTTCTAGAGAAGAAATCCGTGAACGCTCTTTATACTTTGATTTATCTAATGCATTATTCAGTCATGACTTGTGTGTTCTCATGTGTTATGATCGAGTAGTCGATTTGTTAGCCTAGAATTCTAGGGTGTTGATCCATTGAACTGAACATAGATAAGCCTCATTCTCGCCTTTGCTCTCTACTGTTCTTACTGCTGATACTGATTTGATAACTCAGTATTTGATTCCAAGTTTAATCTTTTATCATTAATCCTGAATTAGGTTGCTAGATCTATTGAGAGCAAGCATCACATCCCTAGTCAGCAAAAGTAGATATCAGGGTGTGATGTGAGCATATTAGATTTGTGCTTAATGTTTGCTGTCGAGCGTTCATCCACGCGAGAGCATAGGTAACACGCTCCTTCGCGAAAAGAGCACACCTGCGAGAGAAGGGTGTTCTAGTTAAGAAATCTAAATTCTAGGCTGCACTTAAAGAGTTTAAATAATTGTTTGGTTCAGTTTGGTTAACACCCAATGAGACACCCTAGGTTGACATCCTTATATCCTGAATTTAAAACCTAATTTTATTATTTGTTTCTCACGATTTTTCTCTTCACAACACTTAATCGTTTTAGCTTGAATTTGTATCTATAGAAATAAAGTGTAATATTTGGTCTCTGTGGATTTGATCCTAAAGCGCTACATCGACATACCATTCATCGACATACCATTCGATTGTGGTAGTGTGCACATTAGGTTAATTGGTGTGCGTTTGCACGTAATATCAATCACCAACGGCTTTGATTTAATTATTTCTACAGTTTCATAAGGCATCGAAAAGAAAACATGAACTATATAAATCAGTCTCAAGCCATGAGAATAGTTTAAGAAGCATTGAAACAACCCTAGGATCACCCCGAAAACCTTCTAGCTTGTTGTGAAAAGATATAGCTTGCGCCTTGCAAGTCAAAGGTCACAGAGACGTCACTGCCAAGGGAACACATAATACTAATGCTCAATGACTATTCACAATGAAGAAGTTATGCAAGTGTCTAAAAGGCTCAGTATGGAGTAGAAATTAACTCATCAATTTTGATGGTTGCCATGACACCCTTTTTTCCTTGAGAAGAGTCAGTGACTTATCTGTAAAATGAAGAATATCTTAATAATCTCGGCTACAATTGTGAGCTTGGGATATAGATAAAAAAAATGTGTACCTGGATGATGAGTGTTCATGTTTGCAAGGCCAAGCAGCTCACTGCAATCTCAGAATTTGAAATGTTCTTCAAGATATAGGAGAGAAAGGTTTGGTTAACCCATCAAATTTGGTGGAATCACTGAGTCGAATGGTTAGTGGAGAGGCGGTCAATCGCCTGAAACTCATGGAAAAGAGAATCAGTTATACAAACACAATCAAAGTTATCTCTAGAAAAATAATTTCTTAAAAAGATTCAATTCCCTGAAACCTTAAAAATATTATAAGCCTGAATTTGTTCCAAAACTAAGATGCTCATAAGGTTGAAGAAATATTTATGAATTTTAAGAACGAAGTACTATGGAGTCGAGGAGGAGCATGTCCACCCCATCAAATTGCCTTATTCCCAGAAACTGAGCAAACACCTCGACGGTGGAAGAGCAACACCCGTACTTCAAAACAGAAAGTAAAACAGAGGAATAAGTATTAGGGATAATATATCCCACATCGGGAAATCAAAGGGACCTTAAGTAATATATAAAGGGTTAGGGCCAATCCACTTATTACCAATTGATTTTAAGTTGAAAGCCCATAATAAACCCAAAGTTAACATGGTATCAGAGCCCAGATCCTAATGGAAAAAAAAGCCCTAAACTCCTAATTAATTAATTACCCTTCCGACCGGGTATATAGGTCGTGTTTAACCTTCCAGCTAGGTATAATTGTCGTATTTGACTCGCTCGACCGAGTATAACTGTCTTAAAGTTTCGAGATTTCTGGCCGATAAGAGCCATCATCTCGAGGAGGGGTATTAGGGATAATATATCCCACATCGGGAAATCAAAGGGACCTTAAGTAATATATAAAGGGTTAGGGCCAATCCACTTATTACCAATTGATTTTAAGTTGGAAGCCCATAATAAACCCAAAGTTAACAATAAGCCATTATACTGAGATTGGAATTTGGAATACTATTGGACTTGTGAAGGATGGTTCTCTTGAAATGAGTCCTAACCTTTTTATAGATAGAGATCCACTGCTTGGAAGAGGGATAAGAATCATTGAATGTGGAAGAAGGATAAGAAACACAGTTACAAAGACAAAATAAGATCAATGAGAAGAAGACTAACACATTCGTTTAGGGTTAGAAGGTGAGAAGAATCGCAAACGGCATCGGTGATGTCGCAGGAAGATCAAAGATGACTTTCTTTGTTTACGGTTTAGAAGCATCATTTCCTTCGCGTCAGGGCAGAAACTTATTTGAGTCTTAAGCCCATTCCCATGACAAACCATATAAGTCCATTAACGTAAAACTTACATACGTCTTAAGCTGGTTAGACACATGGTGTTCCTTCATAACTCGACTTTTCTAATTGGTGCTAATGTGGAAGAGTGGAGAAAGTAAGAAACATGATTTTATATAAATAGATTAGAATGCGTCATCAACTTATATAACCAAAGAACAAAGAATTGTTATTTTTTTTAGTTTGACATAAAAACATAAGCAACTTGCTCAAATTTTTAGCTAAAAAAACTTGCTCAAATGCCTGCCTGCACACGTATACAAAAGGTTTCAATATATACTGTTAATTAATTTATAACGCATAAAATCTAATTGAGAAACTAGATTTTGTATATATAATTTTAAATTAAATTGCAAAAACCAAATTATCAAAAGATTGAAAATAATTTAGGTATATTCAAACTTACGTTAAAGTTTGATATGACTGAAATTGTAGAAGGGGATTTCACTTTATGTAAATTCAACTAACGTTAGGTGAGAAGAGCTTTATGGCTTTCGTCCTTTTTATTCTAACACCAGTCAAAATAGGACTAAATTTAATTAAATTTACTTTACTTACCAAAATCCTCCAAACCTAGGGTAAGAATCTAAAGTAGAAGGATATCATCGTTAATAGTACTTCAAGTAAAGGGTATAATAGTAAATAGCCTATCATACTCTCTTCCTGCTAAAAAGCGCGTTCTCTTCCTTGAACAAAGCAAAAGTGCTTGAAGAGAGAGAGAGAGAGGAAACAAAAAAAAAAAGAGAATCTAATATTTTACATTTTCGCCGTTAAGATTCTATTTCTGAACATTTACACCCTCACGCCATGTGTGGAGGAGCTATAATCTCCGATTTCATTCCGCCGCCGAGGTCCCGCCGCGTCACCAGCGAGTTTCTCTGGCCGGATCTGAAGAAGAACGCGAAGAAGAGCTTGAAGCAGCGTTCGAGTTTCTTCGATCTTGACGATGAGTTCGAGGCTGATTTCCAGGGCTTCGAGGATGAGTCCGATGATGCTAAACCGTTCGTTTTCACCGCGGCTCGTAAAACCGCCGTCTCCGCCGCCACCGCCGGTAACTCCATTTCCACATTTACTTTTGAATTAAAAATTAATATCCGATTTGGTTAGTTATGTTGAATGTCAATCACATGATCAAGGCTCGTATATGGTTGCTTTACTGTGAATTTGAAGTTTGATTTTGAATCAAGTGTACTTTGATATATCGTTATGCTTATGATTAATGTTTGATTAGAGTTGATTTGAATGTATATCACATGATCTTGTTGGTGTATAAGCTGCAGTTATCATTCATAGCTTCTGAGTTTGGAATCATATGTTTTTGGACTGTGTGATGTTGAGGGGCATATGAGATTTGATTCGTGTGATGTTTGGGGTATATGAGATTTGATTCTGCGATGTTTGGGGTATATGAGATTTGGTTCGGGTGATGAAATTGATTTAGTCTCTTTTGTTTTTTTTTGCAAACAGCAGATTCAGGTTTTGGCAAGAAAGTTGCTGACATTAATCGACAAGCTGCAAAGAGGAAGAGGAAGAGCCAGTACCGAGGGATAAGGCAACGTCCTTGGGGCAAATGGGCTGCTGAGATTCGTGATCCAAGGGAAGGTTCAAGAGTCTGGCTTGGAACTTTCAAAACTGCCGAAGAAGCTGCAAGAGCTTACGACGCTGCAGCTCGTAGAATCCGTGGTTCCAAAGCTAAGGTGAATTTCCCTGAAGAGAACCCACCTGCCAAGGCCAAGAAGGTGGCTAAACTATACCCAAACCCAAATCCAGCTTTGGGTCAGAACCTGGACAACTCCTTTGACAATATGTGTTTCATGGAGGGGAAACAGCAAGTGAACAACAACAACAACAACAACAACAATCAGTTTGGTAATGGGTATCATCAGTATTTCAGCTCAGACCAGGGTAGTAACTCTTTCGGCTGTTCTGAGTTTGGTTGGAACGAGCAGGCTCCAATAACTCCTGACATCTCTTCTGCGTTTATCAACAACAACAACGCTACTCTATTTGCTGAGGAAGCTAATCCAGCGAAGAAACTCAAGGCCGTGGATTTCGAGGCACCTTACAACAACACTGAATGGGACTCTTCACTTGATTTCCTCACTGTGGCGACTCAGGAGAATGGTGCAAACCCTATGGAACTATGGAGCATTGATGAGATCGATTCCATGATTGGAGGAGTCTTCTAAAAGAGATCCCCATTGTCATTTAAAACATTTTGAACCCTTTCTGGTGGTCATTTGTGTTCGCTTGTGTTTTGGTTTTGTTACTTTGTGCCCCTAAAGACTTCTTAAACATTGTCAAATATGTTGAACTTTTTTGTCAAATACGTTTAACTAATGTTCTGTTTTATGATCTGGAATGTTACTAAGGAACCGGTACGAATCGAACCGGAGTAAAAGAAAGAAGGACCGGTTATCGTTGATTTTGTGGTCAGAAAGCGGTGAGATTGCGTGTATATTGTTTTTAATCACATTGATTGTCTTGAGAAAAGAGCCACTTTTGTTATTTTTTCATACAGTGAATCTAGAGGGAAAACGCCGAAAACGACGTCCGTAAAAGACAGAAGAACCTAAAGGTTGCACTTTCTTTGCAAGTGGGTAACTGGTGAGTTTGTGACTTTCTCGTGACACTTTTTTCACGAGACACAAAAAGAAAGTTAAATCACTTCTGCTTCTTTCTGTCCTTTTCCTTTACTGTTTTTACTAACACAACCTTGTTGCCCAAAAAAAAAAAAAAATTTCTCCAACCCTTCTATAATAGCATTAAGAGACAAAATCATTCAATCTCTACTATACTTTTTTTCTTAAATAGAAATTTTTATTTTCACCTCTATTTTTAGAGGAAAAATAGCATTCTTCTATAATAGAGTTATATATTGATGTTCACAAAAGAATATATCAAAAATATTCTCTTTTAGAAGAATAAATAGAGAAATACAATGGAGACAAATCTATCACTATTAGGCTTGGGAAAATAAACCGAATCCGAAAACCCAAACTGAACCCGATCCGATAAAAATGAATCTGAACCCGATATAAATATCGAATGGATTTTGTTTATAGTATTTCAGATTATGGGTATTATCCGAATCGAACCCAAATCTAAATGGATATCCGATAGAACCCGAAACATTCAAAATTTCAAAAATAACTTGTACCAAACATGATTTCAATTCCTTATAAATCCAAAATACTTTAAGATATTATGAAACATGTAAAATAATTATTTTTACATGAAAGTTGATGATTGTAGATGGCGGTTGAAGCTTGAAGTTTTTGGATTTTGGTTTTATTTTCACTGAATAACGTTTCTCATTTCATGAAACTTGATTTTCGTTTTATATCTTCATTTATTTGGTTTTCTTTTTAACGGTAACTATATTGACTTTTCGTTTGATTTTAAATGATTACATTTGATATTCTTTTCTTATTTTTGAATCACTTTTACATATTTTTTGGTTATAAAATAAATATAAATCATGTACTTTAAATTCGAAGAAACGATTTTACTTATGTTTTTGTACAAAGTCAGTATAAATCAAATACTTTTAAACCAAAGAGCTGATTGGGACCGGGAACCGAAAGTACATTGGATTATATCGATTTTTTGAAAATTTACTAACTCTGATCCGAACCCGATAGAACTCGAACCACTCAAACTGGATTTTTATATAATTCGAATAGGGCTGATTTTGATAAACCTGAAAAACTAAAACCCGAATAAACCAAATTGAAACCCGATTGGAACCCCGAACATCTATGTCTAGTCTCTATTATAGAGTTTCTCTATTCTAAAGAAAAAAATAAAAGAATATATTAGAGATGGTCTAAAACAACCATTAATTCTACTCTTTTTTCGTGGTACAAGTAATTAATATGGAGGAATGAGCGAAACAACAGTAGAGTATAAAAGTATAAAAAATAAACAATTATATCTACCGTAACAATTTTTTTCTCTTTACATAATAAGAAAAAAATAAACAATTTTACTCTATTTAAACAGTTACTAACGAAAATATGAGTGGCAAATTTTCAATCAGATCGGTATAATATTAGCTGAAGTGAAAGTAAACAAGTTTCTACTAAAACTATTATGCGATTTGTGACATACAAAATGTGATTTAATCGTATCTATAGAGTAAAAGTTTACTCTAATTTTAAATTTAATTTAGGTTGAGCCAAAAAAACCTACCAATTAAGTGGCCATCAGTTTTTAATATTTATTCTGGATAATATTTATAAAGTAAAAAAAAAGTCTAGATTTACCCCCAGTCAGAAAATAAAGCTAAATCACTTATGCTTCTTACTGTCAGCATCCACGTCAATGAATCCAATCTTAGAATTCAAATTTTCAATTAATTCTTATTAAATTTTTTTTTTTTTTTTTTAAAAAAAAAGCAGATCAATCGCAGACCACCATATGTCATAGAGTCCGCGTTACAATGATGAACCGGTTTACTGCAGAGAACCTGCAAGAGATAGATTCATCACTATTCTTTATTTTAGTTTTTTTTTTGAAAAAACGTGTGAATCCCCATCTGAATCTTTGATGGGGGTATTTTTAGATTTTAACAAGTAAATAATTTTGGGTTTTAGAATTTTTTGAAGATTTTTTTCTGACAAAGTTAGAATTTATTATCCTGAAGGTTTTTTCCTAAATCACATCTTCAATGTTAAATACTTAAATACCTGAATATAAACATGAAGTACAGCCGTTTAGGTGGATATATCTTATCATTATAGGAAGCTCTATGTGAAGGTCGTTTTTTGACGTCTAATACATAACCAGATTTGTCATATCTACACATTTAAACGTTAACTAGAGTTTCACCCGCACATCCGTGCGGGTATATTTTTTATTTTATAAATATATAACTAATTTTTTTTAATATATGATTTATATTTTAGCTTTAATTATAATCATATCTAATAACGAAATACAGAAATACTTATTTTATAAAAAATATATTTAAAATTTTTGATAAGATTTTGTTAGATTTTTTCAACAGATTTTGTTATATTTAAATTTATTTATTATTAATGTTCTTATTAGTTATTAAGATATTGTGAAAATCATATATATTTGACTGGTTAATGTAACAATAAAATATATCAATTAAGTAATTAATAACATGGTCCAACATGACTTCTAAATAGTAGATAAATTTGGTACTTCTCTTTTAATAGAGAAGATATATGTTTATAAAATATTAGAGTCTCCCATACTAAGTATAAAATTTTATTAACATCCTTACTAAATTGTGTTTACATATTCTAGTACAAGAAAATTAGTTAATTAAATAATATTTAGTTAAAAAAATCAAATGAACATTTGAACACAACTCTTATGATTATCTATTCTTCTTCTCTAATATAATTCTGGAAAATATATATTATTTTAATAGAAAATAGACATTTTTATACTTCTAACCAAAAGAACCTATAACTTTAAACAGAATGGATATATTTGAACAGACATACATAGTTGGTATATTAAGCTACAACGATATCTATATTATTAAAACTGAAGTACATTTTGGTATTGTTTGAAAATAAAAATATCAAGAAAAAATGAGAATTGTTTGGAAACATAGATAGCAGATTAAGTATTTTTTATTTCCATATTTATCCATTGCATTTACAATAAATTAAATACTTTCTTTTTATATTTCTTTTTATTTTCAGATTTTATCATTGAATTTAAAATCAATTTAAATTAATTAATTTGGTTTCAGATACTAATCGGGTCATCGGTTCTAAAAATACCAATTTATATTCGATTAAATTCAATATATTTTCAATCATTTTAATAAATTTTTGTATATTGTCATTCAAAATAATATTGTGAAACTCGTCTATTAAGCATATAAGATTTGTCTTTGAAATATACGCGATAACAATAATCATATCATGATTAATGACAAACCAAAATCTTTTATTAACGGAAATCATATATAACGAAAGATAAAAATATTAAAGTTAACAACTAAGAATTCTATAAACGTAAGAAATACTATTTAAACAAACACTGTTTAGACTTCAAAACAGATTTATTCTTAACTAAACTTCAAATGTAATGTCAAACATAAACATTAATATTAACCAAATAAAACTATATATTAGACTAAGTATTTGAGTTAATTATTCATGTAATAACTAATTATTGTAGGTATTCAATAATATCTTAATGTGTTTTATAAACATATTAGAATTTTAGATTTGATAGGGTACAAGTTTTTTTTTAAATTTAAAGTTTCGGATTCTTTCGGATATCCATTTAAGTTTGAGTTCGGTTCGGATAAAACCCATAGCCCGAAATACCGTAAAAAAGATTCATTTGGTAATTATGTCGGTTTGGATTGATTTGAATTCCTTTTTCGTGGGTCGACTTCGGTTCGAATTTTTGGGTTTGTTTGCCAGCCCTAGAGGTCCTGGTCAATTCTAGTTTTCTTTAAAACTACTTACCTTTTTATGTCCTTTTACGGTTTTACCCAGTAGTTTAATTAATATGATTTTTTACTTCTATATTTTTCCAATTTTATTGGATGTCTTCGAAGGGACTTAATATTTTTCTTTTTTGCAAAAGCAATTTATGCAAACGAGAAAAATAGTTGAGATAACTCTTTTATAGCCACTAGTCACTTTGTCACTATCAAACTCTAATTAAACCGCAGTAAACATTATGGTGACCTAACATTTTTTTTTCTTCTTCTAGTATTCTTAATAAATAAATGATCTAACGTGATACAAACCATTTTGAGTTTTAAAAAAAAAACCGAAACATTTGACTTTCTTTATAAAGTCATTTTGTATATAAGTGTAGAGACACATTTTGTTATAATATAAACTTATGTACATAGACTTGTCGACATGTCTATAAGTTAGACTAAAAAGCTAATCATTTCGTCTATATAAACATACATTCACAAGCGCACACACACGAGTCTAAAGAAGTTTTGTGGTGAATGAGAGAGTCAACATTAATGGAGAAATTCACAAAAAGAACTATCTCCTTCTCCTCCTCTTCCATCTTCTTTATAATTCTCTTTCTCGCTGGAAAAACATCAGCAAAACGTTCTTACGACGGTGACAACGAGGATAACGTGACGGCTTTGTTCATCTTCGGCGACTCTTTCCTGGATGCAGGAAACAATAATTACATAAATACCTCAACGCTTGACCAAGCCAATTTTCCACCTTATGGTCAAACATTCTTTGGCCTCCCCACTGGAAGATTCTCCGACGGTCGTCTCATCTCCGATTTCATTGGTGAGATGATTTTATATACTCCCTCCATAATATGTTTTATAGAAAATTTTGTGTTTCAAATTGTAAAATGTTTCTATTTTTTTTTTAAATTACTTCTAACTTTATAAAAACTATGTGACTAGTTTATTTATTTATTTTTTGTTGATAATTAGCTGAGTTATATTAATTCATATATAATGATACTTATTTAGAAAAATGAATGTCTTAGTTTTTGTGTTCTTACTCAAAACCAAGAGTTTGAATATAGAATAAATAGTTATATATATTCACAACTTTAGTATTATATATCACCTCGTGGCCTATTTAAATAATATTATATTGAAGGAAATGTACGTTAATGATAGCGGAATATGCAAAGTTGCCGTTAATTCCGCCGTTTTTGGAACCGGGAGATAGTCAAAAGAAGCTTTGCGGCGTCAACTTTGCATCTGCTGGAGCTGGTGCTCTTGTTGAA